CAACGACCGCGTGGGGTACTTCCCGTCCACCCTGGTGGAAGCCATCAGTAAACGCACAGGCAAATATCACTCCTGGGGGCTTCCCAGCTATCTTGGGAGGGGGGGAGAGGGGAGCAGCGCCGGGTCAGCTGCGGGGGTCCAAGCCCCCCCTTTTGGGGCCAAGGGAGCCACAAATGGCCAGGACACAGACCCCTGCAAGGGGAATCGGAAAATCAGAACGGTGACGACAGCTTGAATCACAGTTGCAGCCACCATCTTGACTTTTTTGACCACCGCCCCCACAAGTGCCTCTGCCAGCGGCCTGTCCAAAGACAGGGCCTCTCACCTCCTGATCTTAGAGCGCCCTCCCCAGCAGCCGTCCTTTACTCCAATATGCCCTACAGCAGACTAATAGTTATTACCAAACAAGGGCTGAAGGCTCGAGAGGTGAACGCCAAACTGGCCCCCAAGCCCTGGCCGCTCTATAGGGCAGGGAGGAGAGTCTTGGCCCGCGGGCCACATACAACCCACCCAACTTTCCACCGCCAAAGCTTATTAGCAGAAAGACATCTTTTGGTGGCCTCCTGTCATTTTTAACACCACCACCAAATGTCTGGTAGGGCAATTTTCAGCCTCATCTTTTCCATGACAGTGGGCCCCAGGGCCCATTTTTTTGAAAGAACACGAGCATTCAGGTACGGCCATTGGGGGCCCGGCTGACCCCACATCCCATGGACCCAGCTCTGCTGGAAAGAGGTTGGGAGGCTGGTGTGGCGGGGGGCGGGATCCAGCCCCTTTGGAGTTAGGTCGGGGAAGCCAAGATGCCAGCCTTGCAGGTTTCTGCCATGCAGGAGCCTTCAAGCAAGAGCTGGGCATCTGGGGGCGGCAGGACTGGACCATGGCCAAGGGCAATCTTGTGCCCAGCAGCGCCAACAGGGAGGACTCACCGTGATGATGTCCCCAGCTTTCACGTTGAGGCTGGTCAGGTCATAGTTGTTGCAATAATCTTTCATGGCCCGGACCTGAAGGGCAGCCGAAGCGTCTGGGAAGGAAGAGACGGTGAAAGGGATGCAGCTCCCTGCAGGCCGGGCCAAGCTAGGCTGGGCAAGGCAGCACCCGCCGTGCTGGCACCAACGTGCCCTGGGGACTCTGGGACCAGGGAGGCCGCCTGATCTTGCCCTCTGGGCCTGCTGCAGTTCATGCCCCCTTCACTTCACTCGTGCCAGGGAGGAACATAAAACCAGGATCCCACACTCCCATATATGACAACTAAGATGGAGGCAGGATGAGCAGATTTGATTTTGGCAAAGCATGGCCTACAGATCTGGGTGCTCTATCATTAAGGTGGTAATTGGCCCTTGGAACTGGGCCCAGAAGCCTGTTGGCAGCCAAACAGCGGCTTCACCAGGTGTAATTCTCACCTGACAGGTTAAGCCATCAGGAGTCTAACTGCCACCTTTTGTACCAACTGAAGCTTCTGGATCACCTTCAAAGGCAGTCCCTGGCAGAGTGCACTGCAGTAGTCCAGCTGGGTGCCAACCAAGGCATGAGTTACCATCACTGGAGCATCTGATCTAAGGAGGATTGTAACTGGTGCACCAGTCAAAGCTGGGCAAAGTCTTCCCTAGGGGTGATTTTCACCTTCTTAAGCAAGAGTCTTGCATTCAGGAGGACCCTCAAGCCACAAACCAACTCCTTTGAGGGGAGCATGACCTGGGTCAGATGTTACAAGATTGCCCCCATGAACAACAGCTCGATCTTGGCAGGATTTAATCTGAGCTTGTTTTGTCTCACAGCCTCCAGACACCAGTTCAGGACTCTGACAGCATCTTGGCTCAGCTGAGAGTGGCGATATATGACTGGGTCAACAGCATGTTGGAGATACCACCTACCAAAACAGCAAATGGCCTCTCCTGGCCATTTGAGGTAGAGGTTAAATAACAGGGGAAAACACCAAATCCTGAGGAACCATATTGGGGTTCCCAAGGATTTAATGATCAATGGTATCGACACTGCAGACAGATCTCATAGAGGACAACAAGGAGTCTATCAAGGTCTCCAAAAGACCAGACTAACCACTGCTGCTTCCCTCCCATAACCAGACCTGGATTCTGACTGAAGGGAATCCAAATAGTCCATTTCTTCTGGGATCCTGATTGGCTACTACCTCCTCAACACATTTACCAGGAAGGGAAGGTTGGAAACTGGGCAAACTCAGGGAAGAAAAGCTGGGTCTAGGGAGGCCTCTTCAGGAGAGGGTGCACATCGCCTCCTCTGGGCAGGCAGCCCCATGCCCTCCCAGAGCTGCTCACACCCTGCCTAACCACCCGAAGAAGCCAGGAGGGGCATGGATCAACCCCGCAGGTGGCAGAATGCAGAGGACCCCGCCCCCCACTGGCTTCCTCACAGTCCACACATTCCAAAGAATCCCAGATTGTGACAAAAATGCTGGCTTGTTCCCTACTGTAGACTCTGCCAAGGAACCCACCAACTCATCCAGATGCCTCCTCATCTGCCCCGGTGACTCCGGTTCTCTGATCGAGGCTTCCAGGCAGGAATTGGCGTGCTCAGCTTCATGGGGAGGCTCAGACTGGGTGCTCTACTTCTGGTTTTCCCCACCATCACTCTAGGCACATTTTCCCTAACATGCGCCAGTAGATGGAGACAGAGCACTGGGCTTTATTATACCGTTATATTTATATATGTTGGATGGCTGAAATGGCTTCACCTACATTTTCCTAGTGTCGGAGGCACCACCATGTAACGTGATTCCGGTGGAACAGGTAAGCTCCTGGATTGGGACAAGGGAGTCCCAATGAGCTGGCTGTGAACCTTTTTTCACACAAAGGTTCTTGTGGAGGGGCAGTGGAATTGGGGGCGCAAAGTATACTAGCGCATAACTGCAAGCAAGCAATAAGTAGCAAGGAAAAGACCGAACAATGTTGTCAGCCGCCCTCGCAAGGCTCCTCCAGGTTACGTAGAGAAGACCGCCATCAGCCTCAGCTCGAGAGGGTTTTCTGGCTGCTTCACCCTCAAATGAGCAGCCCCTGTCCATGCCCCCCCCCACGACGCCCCCATCTGCCCTCACCTCGCAGCATCTGCTTGATCTCCTTGCTGGCTTGTGTGGCAGTGAACTGGTGGACAATGTCCAGGGCAGTCTGGCTGTAGGTGTTCCGGATGTGGGCATTGATCCCGCTCTGCGAAAACAGGGGAGGGGGCCGCTTGAGGAGGCGAGAGGGGCTCCTGGATGGCTGCCAGTAGCCACAGTCGCCTGGGCGCCCAGCAGGCCCCTTGGGGACAGCCATGCGCTGGGCGACCTGGGGACCCTCCGTCCCTCTGGCAAACGAGGGGGGGCTTACATCCAGGAGGAGGCGCACCACTTCCGTCTTGCCACACAAAGCCGCTTCGTGCAAGGCAGTGCCTGCCTTGGTCTGACGATTGATGTCTATGCCAGCCTGGAGCAGAAGCCTGCAAAAGCGGTAGAAAGGAGGGTGGAAGGGGAAGGCAAGGGTGCCCCACTAGGCAGAGGTTCAACAGGTACTGCTCTGGGGATGCAAGGAGAAGGGGGGTCTCCTCTCTCCTCAGGAACAAGCAGGGCAACCCCACCTGAGGACCATCCCCCTTGAGATACCCCAAGCCCAGGCAACGCAGGTGGGTCAGGATCCCTGCCGGGGGCTTCCGGTGGTGGCGTCAAAGAGGTCAGGAAGGTGGCCACCATCATGCGACTGAAACCCTGCCACTTTTACATGCACTGACGGACGCAAAGAGGGACGGGGCTCCGACACAGCCACGGCTGCCATCTTGCTTTTTTGGCCTCCCTCCACAGATGGCCCTCTTGGGACCACCCTCCTGCTCCTGGTTGGGGCAACCTCCCCATCGTTGCCCCCTGCACACCTGACCGTCACAGGAGAGGAGACCAGCCTGGGTTGCGCATTGTCAGGATGGGCCATAAATCCTCACCCTCGCTTTTGCCCAGCAAAGGTCCCTCGGCACTGCTGGCTCTCCTCCGCCAGGCTCACGGGGGAAAGGAGGGGGCTTCAGGCTCCCCCAGAGATGATGCGGCGGCACGAGGAAAGACCCGGGGCAGGGAAGGCAGGATGACCTCGAGATCTCTTTGGGCCCCCTGGATCTAACTCAGTACATACGGCCCCTTGCCCTGAGGGAGCCTCCATGGGAAAGCTCTCCAACCCGTCTCTCACGGCCACAGCTTGTTCCCCGTTGATGAATTAGTCGCAAGCGCTTCTGCTGACCCACCACAGGCCCTGAGAGCCAGCTGGACGGGAAGAAGAGGTGGCCCCAGAACAGAAGCGC